TGTTTTTTGTGTTTTTTGTTTTTTTTTTTTTTTTTTTTTTTTTTTTTAATAGTTACCAGAAGCTTGTCATAATAGGTAAACTATACTTCTGATTCCTGGCTGTCTCGCATTTTTACAAATGGCATGTGACATAATGCGGATCTTGACATTTTACAAAGTTACAAAGTTTACTGAAAAGCAAACCATTGCATAGACAGATGACATTTACAGAATCCAATGCAGATCACATGACGCAATTCACTAGTATATTCTTGGCTTTAGTGTTGAATCTGAGCCAAGAAATGATTAGAAATCCTCTCCTGAAAATATAGCCTCACATCAGTCCATTCCCTGAAAAAGGGCTACCAGCACAGCGGGCACTGGAGAACAGGCACAAAGTTGCTTTTTATGTTAAAAATAATTAAAGCTAGACGTTTAGGCTGACCAATGTGATTGGTGGTGTACAGTGCTGGTCACATGACATACTGGCGTTTTGCTGGCTTCAATGCTGAAACCAGGCCAGGAATTCTAAAAATTCCTACTCTAGTTGTTTGACAATGCAGCATCAGGCCAGTTGTATCTCCGTAGTGCAACCCGCAATACAAAGGACATTTCAGGACACGCAGGAAGTTGCTTTTTAGAACAGTTAATATGCTACAAGTCTTCCTGCCTGCCTGTGTTGTTGCCTTTCCCAAAATGTCTGCTTAGTGGTTTTAGCTCCGTGTCATATACTGTATAAAGGTTACTTTGTTGTAATGAGGGGATTTTATATTTATAGCTTGTTTCCAAACCACACAAAAGCCATACCACACCCCCAATGAAATTATTATGGGGCACAAAGCTGTCAGGTTACCTGGTCATTTATGTAGTTGGCTAATGTTTTGTAAAAAAAAAAAAAAAAAAAAAAAAATATATATATATATTGCAATTTGGAGCTGCTTTATACTGTCTATTTCTCAAGATGAAGGTTAGAGAGGCATGGGGCCTTTTGGTGATTTTATTTTATTTATTTATTATTTATTTTTTGCTGTTCCACTAGACATATGCAGTTTGTTTCATTCCAAATCGAAATCTGGACGAATTTGTCTGTTGATTTGGATGTATCCAGATTTCCGAATTACAATAGTAACTAATTTTAAATGAGAAATATGTTTATTTAAAACACACGGCTTTGAGCATGCTTCATACTGCTGATGACGTAATATTTTGATAAAACATGTTGGGTAAAGCTTCAGGCCATGACATTACTACACATGCGTACGTATTGCAGAGGACTTTATATACCCCTTTTCAAGCCTTTCATTTGTAAGTGTTTTAACCAATTTAATAAATATAATAATCAGGTTTACACTGTGGGAGGTGTGACGATCACGGCGTCAGACCCCAGCCCTTCTCACCAAACTCGTGACCGAAGGACTAGCCAATCTAAAACCGCGCTGTCGCGTGCGTAACAATACCACTCCCAGCTGCACTCTGCACAAAGATTGTCCAGCTAATGGACCACAATCTGTGTATCTGCAGCCTGGAAGCGATTGTTACTGGGTCAGGTTAATTACGCAATTAACCCTTCACACTGCCACCACCTCCTTTTTTTTTTTTTTTTTTTTTTTATACAGAGAACGAGGAAACTCGGCAATATCAGCAATAACACTATGATGTTTGAATAATCGTCGGTATACCACTGTCACAGCAGGCAGAGATATACCGAAGTTTAAAACACACACACAGTAGCGCTCTTCAGAGGCAGGAATTCGTAGTTTGCATTAAAGAGCGTTAGAAACCGTTCAACACTTTCGGAAAGTAAGATTTATTACTAAAAAGGTCAAAAGGGTGCAATAAAAATATTTACAGAAAAAGATGTAGCCAATATATATATAAATATTCAGAAAGCAATAGCACAGCAAAGAGAACAGAAGTTTAGAGGGTTAAAGTACTTGCCAAATGTCCTAGTTTAAGCAGATCAGGTCTTATGAGCCAAAAGGATTTCTTATCTCCCATTGTTAGTACCGATGTTAAAAAAAAAAAAAAAAAAAAAAAAAAAAAAAAAAAGATTCTTCAACTCTCACACACCTCAACTCAGCCTAGCCTAGCCTTTTCTAGCAACTCCACAGGGTGTCTCCCTGGAGCAGTAAACCAATCGCCTCATTTGGGGTGGGAGTTGTAGGTGGAGACCTCAGGCTATGACCAAAGCCTGCAAAATTATATTATGGTTCATAATTTACCCTGGATACATACAACATCCTATCCATGAGTAGATTATTACTCAGAATCACCTGCTGAATGGTTAGACATGAAACACAAAATATCTGCCTGAATGGTTAAGGAGATATAATACTCTGCTCTCCCACGCATGCCAGACAGGGGGTGCAACATATCAGGAGAATGGTCTCAAACTGAGCTGTCCGAATATGGGCTCCATGTTTAGGTAATTATGTCCTACGTGAAGATACTCACTTATATGAAAAAGTGAGTTTTAAAATGTAAGTCTGTTTTTATGACCCCTTGGAAGGTCTTTTGAACTCAGTGAAGGACTTGGTTTATGGTTTTACGAGCCCAGATTGCGGAAGCTAATAGACATCTAGGCCCCAGCTCGGTTGTGAGATTTATAGCCATGATGCCCTCCCATAGAGTTTGCTGCCTGTGATCTGCATCAAACAGACCACATGTCACTCAACAGAAAGGGAGGGGGGATGAGGACAGCTGATTTGGGAGTAGAGCATGATAGAAGATGGAAGACCCTTAACAAGATGGAGGACTGCGTCCATCTCTGTATGCACAATTGCTACAGGAGGTGTTGCTTCCATTACATGTATGATGCTGATGTATTGCAGACGAATATTGAGGGAAGATTTGGAGGTGAGAGATTACCCTATGTACCACGGTGCGGAGGAGCATCTTGATTGACATAAAATCTGTTTGTGACTTCTCATGTAGAGGTCGTTTTTATGCTCTGGTAAGCCTCAGAGTACTTGTCTTGGTGGAGGACACGTGGTGAGAGTGGATTCATTGAGTTACCTTTCCACACAATCTATTAAGCTTACTCTTCAGAGGACTACTATTTCATGTGGGGTCTCTGATCGCTTCTGCTTAATGTATTAGTTATACACTATAGGAAGCATTATTTGCATTTTATTAGATGTATGATCTTGCTACTGAGTGTGGAGTGAGAGATCGGGAGGTGAGCGATTACCCTATCTATGTACCACGGTGCGGAGGAGCATCTTACTTCACATACAATCTGGTTGCGACCTCTTATGTGGAGGTCACATATGCTCAGAGTTTTTTGTGTTTGTAGAGAATACATGTTGAGAGTGGAATTATCAAGATATTCTGTTTATAGAGTTTTTAGAGTTTTGAACTTGCCCTTCAGAGGATTATTGGGGTTCACTTTTAAGAGTATTTGTATTCACAATGGTTATTAAAATGGAATAGAAAAGAATACAGTAAAATAGAATAGAAAATAAAATGATAGAATGGAAAAGAATAGAGTAAAACCGAATAGAATATACTCATCTTCCAAAATTTGAATTTTGACTAGATTAGAAAATAAAAGCATAGAAAGGCAAGAACAATAGAATATAACTGTCTTCTGAAATTCAAATTTTGAATAGAGTAAATTTGCATTCGAATAGATCAGAAAAAACAATAGAATATAACAGTCTTCCAAAATTCGAATAAACAAATAAAATTAATTTAACTAAACAATTATTTAAATGAGTCAAAACTAATTTTTTTTTCATCCTGTTTATCTTCCACACATGGTTACAGCTAGTGGTGTATTTAAGTTTTTTGTGCTGCCCTAGGCAACACAAAAATCATCTGTCCCCCACGGACACCAACCAACACCCTCCCCCCCCCCTTCCCCCTCCTGCGGTGAGAGCCTGACATTGACCAACAACCCTGCCCCCACCTGGGAGAGCTCCACAGCGCCATGGTAGTTCATTGAGCCTTCCTGTCAGTAGTATCTGCATGCTCTTACGGGATGTAGTAGATATACTGACAGGCCAAGGGGTGACCTGCACGGCACTAGTGATCTGCTGGTCGCTGGTGCAATGCTTTAGAGGTTCCACAAACAAAAAATAAATGCACATATTTTTTTTTTACCCGCACAAAAATGTGCATTTTTTTGTTAAAATTGGAACTTATCCTTTTAAACACTTACCTCTTCTGCTGCCGTCACTGCTGAATGCTACTTCATTGCTAAGGAACATCCTTGGACGGAGTCTTCTGGGAAGCTGACACTTCCAGGAGTGTCCTGTGTCCTTCTGAGCTCATGACACAGTAGTGATGTGAAGGTTGACAGGAAATCCACATACTGCAAGTGTTGGTTTTCCAGCAGGGGAAGGGTGGGATTCCTCAATAGCAGAGCAACTCTTGGTGGCATGGGCAGAAGAAAATATATTTACAATCTTCATTTCAAGTAACCCATTTGTCTAGATATTCTTAGTCACAGTCACTTTAAATGCATGTGGTTATAATACTTTAATTTATCTTGATATTGGCTTTTCCAATCCTTTTATACAACTAGTTTATGATAGACTACTGTGGCACACATGCTCTGTCATCAGCCATTCCATAGGCTGTGGTGGTGCTCTTGAGCAAGCTGCGTATTTGCTGCAGTGGAGACTTAGGACCTGGCTTTGTTTATTAGGGGTGTCTAAGGGCTTGTGAGGTAAATTTTCACCCATGCATGTATTTACATTTTGTGTTTAGCTGCTTGCCAGGAGTTCAACTTTAAAAAGGAATATGTTTAAGCACATTAGGGAAATGGTCCTTATGGCTCATACTAGAGGCTCCTCATCATTGCCATATCCTAACTATACCATGTAAGTGCCTGGACATCTTTTTTTTTTTCCTCCAGCATTTGAAAGTACCTAAATGTAGAAGCATTACACACTCCCCAATTTTCTTAGACTTCTATGCACATATGCTTTCAGTGGTAATGTTTAAATTGTTTGACCACAATCGGATCCTCTTTAGGTTTTATATTTGTTACATTGTATTTTTTTTGTCTGTTGCAGCCAATTACAATGAACTGTACCAGTGGTCTGTGGAATGCTACCCAGAATTTTGGGCAGAATTTTGGGATTTTAGTGGTCTTGTCTACTCGCTCATGTACAATGAGGTATGTAAGCTATTCTTGTTCAGTCTAAATACCTGGTTTACTTAAATGCTATTAAAATGTGTGTTTATAGAAGATGTAAATCAAAGAGAACATGCAAGGTACTGTAATGAATAGTAAGTAACTGATGTGCAGCAAGCTGACCCTGGACGCATACTGGTTTCCGATTAGTGGCTTATATTTTGGAAAGGGAAGATCAGTATGATAGTCCTGGAACCTGCAGCTATGAGAGAAGTCTGCAATGGCAGCTACAATACATTTGATCCTAATAGTTTCCCTTTTAAAGCAGTGGTTCTCAACCTTCCTAATGCCGCGACCCTTTAATACAGTTCCTCATGTTGTGGTGACCCCCAACCATAAAATTATTTTCGTTGCTACTATTATATTCATGAGGTGTCGTTTTACCTCCAATACTGCTGCTTTCAACACAGTAGCTGCTTTTAACAGAGTAGGTGCTTTCAACACAGCAGCTGCTTTCTACACAGTAGCTGCTCTTTACACATGTGTGACTGGTCCACATAGGTACAATATGGCGCCAACCCTGTCACATACACCTGTATTTGTACGGGATGTATGTGATGGGGTTGGCGCGATGATGTCATCACGCCGGGTACTCGTATGTTGGCGTATCTGCACATGGGCGGACCCTCCTCGAGACTGATAGAGGAGCGGTGTCTCGGAAATGTGTTTTCCGATGGTCTTAGATGACCCCAAAGGGGTTGCGACCCACAGTTTGAGAACCGCTGCTCTAAAGGGACCCTGTCACCAGACCATTTATTTGAACAGAAATCTTTCCACAAGATTATATGTCCATTTTAACGTATGTTATTTACCTGTAAACGCATCCCTTGTGTAGAAATCCAAAAGGACTGCTGCTGGGCAATGCCATTTTGAATGTGATTCACCAGTGAACATATGATTGGGTTGAAAAGCCATCATAGGCACTACACCTCCTTATAGTCCATTAAATATAGACACAATAGAAAGATAATTGGGAGTTTTAAGGTGCCACTCATGACTAGTAACACTGAAAAAAAAATCTTTTAAAAGCTTTCAAATTTTATTATACATCGATTTGTTAAACTAGCCATAAAAAGTCATATAATTTCAAGTATGGAGACGTGTAACCATATATTTCATATCATATCCTCTAAATTGCCAATCCTATTACTTCCTGCTTGGACAGATCCACATGAATATCTATTGGGCTAAGTGGGATCATTTCTTTGAGTTGTATACGCGAGGTGTGACAGTCTTAATTCCCGGAATGCCAGTAGCATAGCACTATGGTGGTGAGTCACACAGCCATTCGCACTTTAGCGTATTCTGACATGTTCTAACTTCCACACGCTTGGGTCACAGACCAACTGACTAGTAGAGGAAATAACACGTGTGCGCTGTTGGCGGAAAAGAAGTGACTGGAATCTGGAGCAGTGGATTAACATAAAAGTTTTTTGTGAAAATTGGCAAAAGTGCGAGCAAAACTTAAGCTCTGTTACAACAAGGCTTATGGTGAACATTCCATGAAGAAATCACACGTTTTTGAATGCCATAGTTGGCTTAAGAAGGGGCAGGAAAATGTCCATGATGACGCAAGAAGTGGGCAGCCAAAAACTCAAACACCAGATTTTAATGGAGGATTTGGGAACAAGAACGTTTTCCACAATGATGGTGCCTTGAATCTTGACAGAAGATCCTAAAGAACGTTTTCTTCAAATTTTTCATCCGATCTTTTGAAGAATGCAGAGGTTTCATATTTATTTATTTGCAGTCCATTATAGGAATGAAATGGTCACACCTTGTACATGTCTCTCTCAAGTAGCAGGTCTTGCTTCAATGTGTTTTGCAAATGGCTTGATCAGGAACTCTGTAAATTTATCCAAGTAAATACAGCAGTATAACATATGTCTGTTAAAAAATGTATGGGTACCAGCTATCACTTTTGTATTACATGTATATAATTACCCATTTTTTTGCATCTACCCATATCCACATAAATACATCACTTATAATATATAGCAATAAATATCAATGCTAATGTGCAAGATTAAAAATACATAAATCCACTGAGAAAATAAAACCGTGTGCCAAAAAAGTGACCTGTTCTTCAAAAATCACAATATGCATTAAGCGGCTAATGTTTCAGTATTTACAGCATATAATACATTGTGTCCAGTGCTCAAATATGCAACTGCGAAAAAGTGTCCAGTCCTTTAAAATTCACTAGTGCAATGAGCACTCTTCAACAGATGTGCACTAATCATGTCTTTCCTGAAGATTGATGAAATGTGTAGGGCAGGGCTTATTGGACACGTGATATCACCCCATCAGTGGCACTTGTTTACAGCCAGAGTTTGTGGCTGGAGCCTGGGCTGCACAGTCATGATTGCTAACCCTTCATGTTGGGGGATCACATGCCTGACTAAGGGGTCCTATGTGACTCAGAAACATTGCACTTTCTTGTTTTGTGATGTGAGCATACTTCAATAAAAAAAAGTTTGGACTCAACTTGAAGATCTGTGCTGGCAAATAGTTGCACTGTGTTTTGTGCATGGTCCAGTCTCCAGCTGATTGTTGCTGCATCACCCAGGACCCTAGGGCATTTCCCAGGATTGTGTGTGTGATGGGAATATGGATAGTTTAGTATCGGGAGAGACACTTGCTATATGAGTTTTTAAAAAATATTTTTACACTATGGAGGCTTTTTGTTCTTCACTTTGTATATGATATATGAGCATCTTCTGTAGGAAATAAACCGGTCTTTAGAGTATTTAAATCGAGTGAAAAAGAGCCATAATATACAGGGTCCATTCCTGTGGTAAGTTATTAGTGTGGCTGGTGGAGGAGTCTCAGAGGTGCTGGATGTTTTGAAATTTGGAAATTTTGAAGCACTAAACACTAATTGTTTTTGCAATTGTATATCAGAGCACTGGACATCTTTTATTATATGCTGTGCATATTTAAACCTCCTTCGAAGTCCTTGTATCTTCATGCATTTGAATTATTCATGCATCTGAGGGATTGCTTGAATTTTTCTGTTATTGCTTTTAATGTGTTTGTTTTCATGTTCCACATTTTATAAGTTGCAGGTACAACAATCTAATGTTTGATTATTAATGCTTGTTTTAGGTCATTGACAGGTCGAAAGGGATTGCTGATGTTCCAGAATGGTTTCATGGGAGCCGTTTGAATTATGCTGAGAACCTTCTCAAACACAAAGAAAACGATAAAATTGCTCTATATGCTGCAAGTATGTATTACCGACTAGAAAGTGGTAGTTTGTGTGGATGTATATGATTGTGCATAGCTGGTCATCACTCTTGCATCTTATTAGAAAAGCATGGGCAATAACATGGAGGTGCCTCATCCTCCCCTCCTACCCCATCTGTGGCCTCCACAGCCTTCACACTTCTAAAAAAGAATCTTTGCTAAGATTTTGTAGTGTGTCTATTAGAAATTTGTCCATTCATCTGTTTGCAATTTCAGGTACTAATGTTGGAGAAGACCTTGCTCGCAATTGTTGTTCCAATTCCTAAGACAGGTTATCAATAGTAGTGGTTCTTGAAGTTAGGCCTTTCACACGGGAGCTGGCACCTGTACTGCATGAACAAGGCTTTTGTTTTTGCGCCTGCATCTGTCTCCAACTGTGGGGATGCGGTCTATGGAACTGAATGCAGACAATAGCCTCAATCATGCCTTAGAGTACCAGCATAACAGCACCTGTGTGATATCCATATGAGATTAGGGCTCGTTTAAAGTCTGACAACACTGTTTATGCCCTAACAGTATAAAAGAAAAACAAACAAAAAATCATACCTCTACAGTAAAAGTATGGGAATGTAAAATCTACACTATATAAAATATATACATATACACTATATTTCCAAAAGTATTGGGGCACCTACCTTTACAGGCACATGAACTTTAATGGCATCCCAGTTTTAGTCTGTAGGGTTCAATATTGAGTTGGCCCACCCTTTGAAGCTATAACCGCTTCAAATCTTCTGGGAAGGCTGTCCACAAGGTTTAGGAGTGTGTCTATGGGAATGTTTGACCATTCTTCCAGAAGTGCATTTGTGAGGTCAGGCACTGATGTCGAACGAGAAGGCCTGGCTCGCAGTCTCTGCTTTAATTCAGCACAAAGGTGTTCCCAAAGGGTTGAGGTCAGGACTCTGTGCAGGCCAGTCAAGTTCCTCCACCCCAAACCTGCTCATCTATATCTCTTGGTACAATACAGTCAAGCAAGTACTGTTCTCCTGGCAACCGCCAAACCCAGATAGGTCCATTGGATTGCCAGACAGAGAAACGTGATTCGTCACTCCAGAGAACACGTCTCTATTGCTTTAGAGTCCTTTACACCACTGCATCTGACTCTTTGCACTGCGCTTGGTGATGTAAAGCTTGGATGCTGCTGCTTGGCCATGGAAACCCATTCCAAGAGCCTCTCCACGCGTTGTTGTGTTAATCTGAAGGCCACACAAAGTTTGGAGGTCTTTAGCTATTGACTCTGCAGACAGTTGGCAACGTGTGCGCATCAGCATGCTCTGACCCTGCTGTGTCATTTTTATGTGGCCTACCACTTCGTGGCTGAGTTGCTGCTGTTCCCAGTTGCTTCCACTTTGTTATAATACCACTAACAGTTGACTGTGGAATATTTAGTAGCAAGGAAATTTCATGGATGGACTTATTGCACAGGTGGCAACCTATCACGGTACCACGCTTGAATTCACTGAGCTCCTGAGAGCGCCCCATTCTTTCACAAATGTTTGTAGAAGCAGTCTGCATGCTTAGGTGCTTGATTTTATACACCTGTGGCCATGGAGGTGATTGGAACACCTGAATCCAATGATTTGGAGGGGTGTCCCAATACTTTTGGTAATATAGTGTTTAAAATGTAATAAAATGGGGAATAATAGTTTGTAAATTTGAGTTACTTTAGTTTTAAATGGACACAATGGCAAAAACTATTCACTCAATAGTTCTAGCTATCTGAACATAGAACTGTAAGTAGAATACTCAAATGCTGTGAGTACACTTGACAAAATTGAAATATTTTAATGGGTTTTCCTGGTCAGAACATTTTAAAAGATTATTTTCTGCACCAAATGTAAATGCCAGTGTTGGACAATCATTTTAACATGTATAGTAATTCAGAATAGGAATGCTGCTTCCCTGTAAACTGTAAATCATTAAAACAATGTTTGTTTCTTTTTTGTATCCTAATAACAGAACAGTAAAGTATTTTTCAATTACCCAGACATAGGTCGTAATTGTTGGTTATGTGTTATAGAAGACACTGGTAGTGATAGCAGAATTCAGGCTTTACTTGTGTGGCTTAAGTTACAAACATACAGACTTTACTTGTGTGGCTTAAGTTACAAACATACAGAGCACATTTCAGCAGACTGTATAACAGCAGACTTATTACAGCACATTACTTCCTGAAGAGATAATAGAGAAAAAAAAAGAAGCAGCAAGTTTTACACATACACAACTAGTAACCTTTAGCGTACAGTGCCATCTACTGGTCAAGTGATATTACCACAGAATACTGTATATAGTACATTATAGTACATGCTGTTGTATTCCCAACAGTAATTATGTGTCAGTATATGTGCTCTAAAATAATATTGGTCCCCCTTTTTAAAGTGTTACTAAACCCAGCATTCAGTATATCTGGTCTACCACAGTACACAGAACATGGAAATTCAATTATTGTAGTATATAAACTGCTAAATACCTTTTTCTCATCAACAGTATTTACAGTCTTGTAACTTCTATCATTGCCCAGTTGAGTACTGGTTAAAGCTTGTAGGAAGAGTCTTCATTCTGCTCTGACTGTCCTATGATACTGCATTAACTCCTGACCCTCTGTCTGGACAGTGCTGATTGGCCCTGCGCTGATCACATGGGACATACTAAAAGGAATAACCAAATGGAATGCCCATAGACTTTAACAGGGTGGTGGAATGCTTATAGAGAATAATGGAAAACAAAATATAAACTAATTTGCAAGCAAATCTGAGAAACCTTTTAACATTTCCCACAGGTGTTCCCAAAGTAGAGTAGTAGATTGTAAGATTTAAATTATTTAGCATTATTATTGTTGTTTTCTATGGAATGAGAGAAGAGAATGCCAATAGAGTACAATGGGAAGCAAGATGTGAACATATTTCTTGACAAATCTGTGTCACGTAGAAAATTAACCTTTACCGCATGGTGTTCCCCAAGTAGGGTAGCAGATTGTAAAATTTTAGGTTACCGTAGATTAAAGGCGTTTTCTAGGAAATGACAAAGGTGAATGAGAATGAAATACCCATAGCGTATAATCGGAATCAAGACGTGTATTTACATGAGAACCATCGACCTATGAAATAAATCTTTAGCAGACATACTTTCCAAATTCAGTTGTGATGTTTAAAATTGTGATTAAGTGGGATTATCATTGTTTTCTATGGAATGAAAAATGTAAATGACATAAGAGAATGCCTATTGAATATAATGGGGAAACAAAATATAAACTAATTTGCATGGAAATCTAATAGACATAGCAATGTAACCCTGACCACAGCTGCTCCTTAAATAGAGTAGCAGATTATAAAATTGAGATTATTTAGGATTATAGCTGTTTCTATGGAATTATGTGACTTGATATCAGAACCATTAAACATATGAAATAAAACGTTAGCAGACATACAAGAAAGCAATAATAATCCAACCTAATCTCAATTTTAAACATCACCAGTGAATTTGGAGAGTTGGTCTGCTAAGGATTTATTTGGATGAGTGGTTCTGCCTCCAGGTCACATCTTACTTCCCATTATACTCTATGGACATTCCCTTCTGTCATTCTCCTTTTGTCATTCCATAGAAAAACCGCTATAATCTAAAGCAATCTCAATCTTACAATCTGCTACTGTATTTGGGGAACACCTGTGGGAAAGGTTAAATTGCTGTGTTTCTCAGATTTGCCTGGAAATGTATTCATATTTTGCTTCCCATTATATTCTCTGAGAATTCCCTTCTGTCCTTCACCCTTGTCATTCCATGGAAAACTATAATAACCCCACTTCATCTCAATTTTAAACCTCACCACTGAATTTGCAGAGTAAGTCAAAAGGATTAATTTGGTATGTTGAATGGTTCTGGCTCCAGGTCACATTTTGCTTCTTGCTATATTCTATGGGCATTCCTTTGAGTCATTCAGCTTTATCCTTCCATAGAAAACTGCTATAATCCCAAATAATTTCAATCTTACAATCTGCTACTCTACTTAAGGAACACCTGCGGGAAAGGTTACATTTCCGTGTCTCTCAGATTTGCCTGAAAATTAGTGTTAGATTTTGTTTTTCATTATTCTCTATGGGCATTCCCTTCTGTTCCATTATTCTCTATGGGCATTCCATTCCATCTTAGTTCTGCTCTAATCACATGCACCCTCCCAAAGAAAAAATATCTCTCTAGCAATATGCACTAAAGTGAGCATGTGCAGTGTGACTCCTAGAGCTCTGTACTATCAGCAGATGGATTGGGGACAGTAGAAGAAGGGGAGGAACAGAGAAGACAGGAACAGCCTTTTTACACAATGCGGAGGATAACCCCTTAGGTTCCACAGTGAGTATAACAAGCATGCTTTACTGCATATACAGACTGATTGTACTGTTGTGGGTTTAGTAACACTTTAACTGCAATCATTCTAATTTTCATTTGGTATAATTTCACATACGCCAATATTTAGTCTTAGGGCTCGTTCACACTTGACTGTTTTACCAACTCTTGCCAAACTCCCCTATAGCGTTTGGCAAGCGTTGGTCCGTCGTTTGCGGAGTGTTTTTAACGCACGGCAAACGCCGCATGCGCGGTTCAGCGGCGGATGGTAGGCGTTTGCCGAGCGTTAAACGCCCCACAAATGCCTATAATGAAGTTTGGATGGTGTTACCGCTCCGCAATAGCCCCCGCAACCATGTCGCAACCGCACCGGAAATGGCGGCCGGGCGTTTGCGGAGCAGCACCATAGACTAGAATAGGAGGTTTCAACGCCTCCTGACTCAACCAGAGGCGTCCGTTTTGCCGCGACGCTACCGCTCCTGTTAGAACAGCACCATGTGCTGCAATGGGCAGAATTGTCCAAGGCTTTTGGGAAGCGGTAAAAACGCTTCCCAAACACCTTTCTGCCGCTTGAAAAACAAGGCTAGTGTGAACGTAGCCTTAGAACAGCATTTCTTTAAAATAAGAACCCTTTTATTTCTGCAGCTACTAACCAAGTATCCTCTGTCTGTCTGTTTTATTTTAAATATTCAGAAAGTGAGTATATTTCTTGAGCAGACTCCCTAAATATAAAGTATGACAACACAATACCCCTGTGCTTTTTAATTAGAAAAAACAAACATTCATCCAATTTAATCTGTATAGTTTGTTTTTTCCTAAACCTTTACGCTCCTTTCACATGAGCTGGTCTGCCTGCCAGTTTTTCAGGTGGACCCAATCGTACCCTCTATTCTCCTTCATTGAGTAGCGGATGTAAACAGACGTGTCCGTTTTTACACCTGCCAATTTCCAATCCGATCAGCTAAAAACAGACAGATGGGGGTTTAGTGGATTGGATGGCAGTCAGGTGTAAACTGATAGGTGGTCCGTCTACATCTGACTGCCCATAGAGGAGAGCGAGCGTGTGTCTGTGTCCACTCTGCATAAGCAGAGCAGACACGAACCAGCCAGCCTCCTGCTCACTGTGGATTAGCGGACAGATTCCCTGCTGACTAAACTCCTAGCAGAGCCCGTCTTTTGTGGAAGGGGCCTTAAAGTCAGTATCATAAACTGACTTGAAGTAGAACACAGCGCAGGAAAATTGCATTCCGTATATGTTTCCTGAACTACACACGAATGTGCTGCTCTTATGAGACATGCATGGGTGCCATTAATTGGTACGGTTGTGACCAAACTGCAAGGTATCACACTACACTTACACTACTTTTTTCAGTGTTACGGTACGTTTGGAAGCCCATTGAGATGAAAAGGGTGTCAAAAGTGGAACGCGCAGGACCACACAGGAATGTGCATGTTCCAGTGTGAACTGGCCCCTAAAGGCTGGCTTCAAACAGAACTAAAAGCAGAACTTTTTTTTTCTCTGTTCTATTTTGGATAGAGTAAGGGAACAGTTAAAAACCCCCATCAGTTGTGTTCATTTTTTTTTGGGGGGGGGGGTGTGTTGTGTGTCATCTGTGTTCTGTTGAGCAGATTTCTCTTCACTTCCTGCCCCAAAGCTAAAACAAGAGGTGAGATGAGATTCCTCTAAAGTGGGGGAATCTCATTGTCCCTATTAGAATGTTTCCCTTTTTATCCCCGTCATGGTGACAACCCATAATTTTGGGATTTTCTTTCACCTTGGTAAATAGGGCAAATAGAGAATGGTGAATATCCCTAACAGGGGCACAGACAACAGTAAAAACCTGACGGGTGTTCCTATCCCTCTCTACAACTAAGAAAAAGATGTTGATAAAAAAATAATAAAAAAAAAAAAAAAAAAAAAAATAAATATATATATATATATATATATATATATATATATATATATATATATATATATAAAATACATTTTTTTTTTTTTTTTTTTTAAATAGTAAAGGTATAGAACTGAGTTGCTGGATTGGCAGATTGCAAGGGTTCCATAAGGTATGTATGTCTTATTTTGTGTGCATAGGAAGAATATAGAGCACCATCTAGTGGCCGCAGACTCATATTGCAGCTGTTGTGTTTTCCTGTGCTGTGACAATAGTAGCTGCTGGAACAGATAGGAATGTTACTTATTAACAGATTCTGTAATAAGGTACAACACTCCTCCTTTCCTAACTATGGGACAGCTCAGACTTGCTGGATTGTCAGAACCAACATCCTATTGTACTAGTCTGCTGTATGTCCTTGAAGGGTTATAGTCTGTATAATAAAACAATACATCCTTTTTATCACTGGAATTTAAAAAGCTGGACTATTTGGACTATATTTCATATTTTTTTTTTGTTTTTTTTTTTTTTTTTTCCCTGAAATTAATAAATATATGTATACAAGAAAACTATAGCAGTAATAATGTGTTTTTTTTTTTTTTTTTTTCCTTTAATTTGTATTTATTATTATTATTATACAGTATTTATATAGTGCCAGAAAGTTTGCTCAGCGCTGTACAGAGTAGTGGAGGACAGTACATGAGACAATACAGTAACAAAACTGTATACGAGGGGTTCGAGGGCCCTGCTCTTTCGAGCTTACAATCTAGGTGGGAGGGGATAGGGGCACAGGAGGAAGTGGCTGTTGGAGATGGAGTGGAGGAGATTGCTGTTAGGTGAGGGTGGGGTAGGCTTCCCTGAAGAGATGGGTTTTCAGGGTGCACCTAAAGGTGAGAAGGGTAGGTGACAGGCTGATGGATTGGGGTAGTGAGTTCCAGAGGATGGGGGGAAGTCCTGGAGAAGTCCTGCAGTCGGGCATGGGAGGAGGAGACCAGGGAGCTAGTAAGTAGGAGGTCTTGTGAGGAGCAAAGAGTGCGGGTTGGGTGGTATTTGGGTATCAGGTCAGTGAGGTAGTTCGGAGCAGTGTTATGAACGGCTTTGTATGTCAGTGTTAGTAGTTTGAATTTAATGCGTTGGGCAATCGGGAGCCAGTGGAGGGAATGACAGAGGGAGGTGGTAGATGCGGAGCGGTTGGTAAGGTGGATGAGTCTGGCCGCTGAGTTCAGGATAGACTGAAGCGGGGATAGCCTGTGTTGGGGTAGGCCCGGTGAGGAGGGAGTTGCAATAGTCGAGTCGTGAGATAATAAGGTAGTGTATGAGTTGTTTGGTAGTGTCTGGGGTTAGGAACGAGCGTATTTTGGAGATCTTGCGAAGGTGGAGCCTGCATGAGTTTGCCAGTGATTGGACATGGGGTTGGAAGGACAGGTTAGAGTCTAGAGTGACACCTAGGACTTTGGCTTGTGGGGTGGGACTGATGGTGGCGTTGTTGGTCGTGATGGAGAGGGTGGGGGCGTGGGCTGGGGGGAAAATTAGGAGCTCGGCTTTGGAAAGGTTTAATTTGAGGAAGTGGAGCGACATCCAGTCTGAAATGTCATTCAGTAGGTGGGTGATACGGCGAAGATTGAGGGGGTGAGGTGAGGGGTGGAGAGGTAGATTTGTGTGTCATCGGTGTAGAGGTGGTAGTTGAAGCCATGGGAGTGTATCAGTTTGCCAAGGGAGGAGGTGTAGATGCAGAAGAGAAGGGGCCCGAGGACGGAGCCTTGGGGAACCCCAACAGAGAGAGGGGGAGGTGGTAGCGTTATAGGTAACGCTGAAGGAGTGTTGGGATAGATAGGAGGAGAGCCAGGAGAGAGCGGAGTCTCTGATGCCAAGGGAGTGTAGTTTATTAAGGAGGAGGGGATGGTCAACTATGTCGAAGGCCGCAGAGAAGTCGAGGAGTAAGAGGACTGAGTAGTGGCCATTAGCTTTGGCGGTTAGCAGGTCATTAGTGATTTTGAATAGGGCAGTTTCGGTGGCGTGTAGGGGACGGAAGCCAGACTGTAGTGGATTGAGGAGGTTGTTGTCATTTGAGGTGGGAGTTTAGGCAATTGTAGACCAAGCACTCAAGGAGTTTGGATGTAAATGGCAGTAGGGAGATGGGTCTAAGGTTGCTCAGGTCGGAGGGGTCCAGGAGGGTTTTTTAAGTATGTGGGTGATGTGTGCGTGCTTTAGGGGGGAGGGCAATGCGCCAGTAGAGGGGGAGAGATTGAAGATGTGGGTGAGGGAGCGTAGGATGGAGGAGGAGCATGACCGGAGTTGTGTGGGGACAGGGTCAAGGGGGCAAGTGGTGAGGCAGGCTTCTGTGAAGACCTTAGTGACCTCTTCGGTGGTAGCAGGGCTGAAGGAGTGGAGTGTTGGGGAGGCTTTAGTGTGCGAGATGTTAGGTGTGGTGGGGGTCAGGGCGATTGCGAGGTCAGAGGAGGGGAGAGTTGCGGGGGTTATGTTGGGAAGCTAGGTGGGGAGGTAGATTGAGCATTGGCGATGTCCTTACGGATTGCGTCGATCTTGTTTTGGAAATGGTTGGCAATCTCATGGGCGGTGACTGAGGTACAGGGTGGAGATGGGGGGGACAGAGAGTATGGAGTTGAAAGTGGAGAAGAGCTGGCGAGGACAGCTGGAGAGGGAATTGATGAAGGTTACGAAGTAGGCTTGTTTGGCGGTGTGGAGGGAGGAGGTGTAGGTGAGGAAGGCGGATTTGTAAAGGGTGTATGCTTGAGGGGATCTGGTTTTGCGCCATAGTTATACGCAGTAGTGGCAAGGTCGGGGCAGGACAGTGGAAGGATACTGCGTACAGATGGTCAGCTGCGGAGTGGAGAGGGGCCGGGTTCAGGTTGCGGAGGTTACGGCTGGTGATGGTTTGACGTTTGGGGGGGAGGTGTTTGAGGACGGGGAGATGGAGAACGTAATGAGGTTGTGGTCAGAGAGAGGGAAAGGGGTGTTTGTGAGGTTGTGGAGGGTGCAGAGATGAGAAAAAACGAGGTCCAGGGTGTTCCCGTTGGTGTGTGGGTGGAGGACTGTATGCACTGTGTAAGTGCCAAAGAAGAGGTTAAGTGGAGGAGTTGGGATGTAGCCGGGTTGTTGACGTTAATAGGGATATTGAAGTCACCAAGGATGATGGTGGGTAGCTCAGAGTAGAGGAAGAAGGGTAACCAGGCGGAAAAATCGTCGAGGAAGCGGGATACGGGTCCAGGGGCCGATTTTGTATAATTATTTGCCTCAAATGTGTTCTTTCAAAAGATCACCTGTAGATTTATACTTCACGTATTGTTAAATTCACAAAAGTAGAATTTGTACACACATGGCAAGTTTTCCCAGTCGGAAATTTCTACAGATGCTTAACATTGTGGGCCGTGTACCAGTGTACAGAGGAGTAATCTTTTGTGTACTTGTCTCTAGTTAGTATTTATTAGGTATTTCTTTAGGCCACTTTATGCCAAGCCTTTCCACTGTAATTAAACAAGTTGCATTTCTTATTATTCTCCTTAGGGGAAGGCAGGGAGAACGTGGAAAAGGTGACTTTTGAAGAGCTGAGAAGAAATGTAGCTTTTTATGCAGCTGCTATGCGGAAAATGGGAGTTGAAACTGGAGACCGTGTTGTTGGTATGTATCTGTATGTTTTTAGCATTTAAAACTAGTAACATTAGGGAAAAGGGGTAAAATTGGTAAAGGTGCAAATGTCCAGGACAGAATATAAAATGTATGTATTTAGTTGTATGCCTGCACTTCCACTGTAACCCTTTTTCACGTAAGTTTAGACTGGATATCTGTATTACTGTGTGTATTTATAGAGTAATACTTATGTTTCTATGTTGATGCATACACAGTTTTTTTTTGTTTTTTTTTTAAATCGGTAATGTAATTGTATAGAAACTGACCTCTACAAGGGTTCATTCATTCACACCGTAAAGGGTTTGGTAACATGGGTAATACATGCCTTAACACGTTATTGTGATGCGATACAGTACATTCTAAATTGTACACCAGTGCACATGTAGTGTGCTATAGTACATCTCAATTCACAGACGCAATAGCTCTGTGCGTTTTTATATGTGCTGCATTGTAAAAAAATAATGCAGGACCTATATTTTCATGTGTTTAGAGCCCAATAAAAACAAAGCAATGCTGGTCCAATGTACCAAAAAAGTAAGTATGGTAAAGCACATGTATGATGATGTAACTTACCCAAAGTGTTATAGGACATAGCTTTTACATAGGACTATGAATATCCATATTAAAGTATCACATATTGAAGTCACACAAGCTTTTAAAGAGACCCTGTCACTAACCTAACAAATAGGTACAAATGCTTATTTGTAGTGATTTTTCTTTTAAATAAATAAATATTTTTTTTAAAATGTGCCTCTGCTAACAAATCTGATTACTTCAATCTGTTCCCTTCTTGCATGCCATAACCCTCTCCTCTTCTGAGCGTTTCTAATTCCAGTTTGCGCTGGCCCAGGTTTTCACCCTTTCCCCTAACCTCCATAAATAACCCTTTTTTTTTTTTTTGTAGCTGTTGGGGAAGGAGTGAGGGCAAATACTATAGAGCACAGCTCTAAGTCTGTTGCTTACAGGTATATAACATGTACAAAACAAAGTGATACATGGGGGTTTACTACTAAAACTGGTACACTCAGAATCTGGTACAGCTTTGCTTGGTAGCCATTCAGCTTATTAGATTTGACAATAAAACCTGGAAGCTAATCGGTTGATAAGCTGGGCTGCACCAGGTTTTGCACCTTGCAGTTTTAGTAAATAACCCTCAATTTCATGGGAAGGTTTTTATTGAAATGAAAAATTTGGTGATAGGGTCTCTTTGAAATGTTAATGTAATTCTAAAAGTTGTTTTGCAATTTTTTTAAATCTGCAGCTTTTATTAAAATAAAACACCTGATGATCCTTCTATGGTGGTCCTTCCATCAGGCACTTCTGTAGTAGGGTGACAACACTTCATCTTCCAATGGCTCTCCAGCATTGTTACTCTGTCACATGCACTTTCAATGTAAACTGGAGCACTCAGAATCTGGTGCAGCTGTACATGATAGTCAATTGGCTTCTAACTTCACCTTGTTCAGTTAAGCTTTGAAAATAAAACCTGGATGCTGGTTGGTTTCTGTGCAGAGCTTCACCAGATTTTGCACGCTTCAGTTTTATTAAATCACCCCCTAAGTAGCCACACCAATGCACATCGCGCAGGCCTGTTCCACTGTTGTCACAATCGGGAAGCTGGCCCTGAGAAATGACATGAAGCAATTGCTGGAGTGTATGCATGTAGGCTGCAGGTGAACAATAGTGCTGACATGCAACAATGGAGAAGAAAAAGATCATATTAAAAAAAAACAAAAAAAAAAACCCTTTTTAATTTTTTTTTGCTTCAGCAAATAAACATTTTTTTTAACTGTTATATTAACTGTGTATTCTCTTTAAAAGATGGTTGATATGCTGTTTTGGTTTTAGGCTATCTTCCAAACTGCATCCAGACAGTGCAAGCCATGCTGGCAGCTGCATGCATTGGAGCCATTTGGAGTGCCACTTCCCCAGACTTTGGAGTTAATGTAAGTAATCTGAAAGTGAAGACCTAAGGTCTAATAAATTGCCTAACAACTTTATGGTTGCCAGCCTGGCAATTGTGGTGTGTGTGTATGTGTCCAAACAACTGGTATGCTGGTTACATATCATTGCAAGCACTGCACTTGACCATCCCGTGAACTCATTCCATCTCCATCAGCTCATCTCCCACAGCTATTACCTTTTTGTATCACTTGACCCTTCCTCTTAGATTGTAAGCGAGCAGGGCCCTCTGATTCCTTTGGTACCAAATTGTATTGCAACTGTAATGTTTGTCTTCATTTTGTAAAGCACTGCCCAAACTATTGGCGCTATATAAATACTGTATTATAATAATAATAATCTGTTGTCACTTGTAATGCAGCACTCCTCAGGTTATGTCTCTTGTTGGTTCAGTATCCAATGATTGTTTGTAAAAACGTTGATAAGCTATAGCTGTAAGCATCTTTGTGGCACAATTACAGAGGTGATGGATGTTTACATCTATAATTTACTATCAGAATTAGTACACATATGCACTGGATAGTTAAGGCCATCTAGTGCTGATTTGAAAATCCTGGCAGTGCCCTTGGTGTATACCTGGCGTACAGATTGGGGCGTCAGTCTGTGTACCAAATGCCATAGTCCATAATTTCGTACCCAATATGAAGCTGACTCATTGCTGAGCATTTTATATGTATCGAGCCATCTGGCTGAAAACATGTTTGTACTTTGGCTGTCTAGAATGTGTGCCAAGATCTCCATTTCACTACCTCATCATTGAAAACCTTTAATATTTCACCATTTAGAAAATGGCATAACACATCAGAGGTTACTCAGTCTTTACTGAAAATTGTCTTTTTTTTTTTTTTTTTTTTTTTTTTTTTTCTGACATGATCAGAAAAAGGAGCTCCTATTATACCATAGCAGAGAGAACTTGTGATGTAACCCACAAAAACAAATTGCTTGATTTCTTTTTTGAAGCTACCCAAAAGTATAATCCATTTTACTGCCTGATCATGCAAATGATCTGATCTCCGATGTTGTCAGTACTTGACATTGAATCCATACAGATGTCCTGACAACTAACTGGCTACATGCTTGTTCTGGGTCAATTACTTTCCAAAGCAAAGACAAGGATGGCAGTCAAGGAGCTTGCAGCAAGAAAAATTTGGCAGTGGCAGCCTTTTTTAATAAATATAGCTCCATATATTTATAAAAGAGTAATAAAAGATCAAGTGACAATAGGCACTAAACAAAATGGATATTAAATAGGTGTTAAAGTCCAAATGACGTGCAAAAAGAAAAGTCCAAATGACATGTGCAGTCAGTCCATAAAGCACTGGGGCAAACTCTTGTTGCTGTAGCAGGCTCTAGATGAAGATAAAAAAGGAGAAAAAGTGCCTCTAAGTGCAATATGTTGTATGTTTATTGAGTAATATAATGAGAACCACTCACATGATGAGAGAAAACAGGGCCTAAGCCTTTTTTCTTTTTTTTTTTTTTTTTTTTTTTTTTTTAATCCCCATATATTTATATACTGAGATATTCACCTAAATATACTTTTGGGAGTCAGTGGAACCTATGTGATGTCTGTGGCCACCTCACACTCTTCCTAACTGGACTATGCATCATAAGAAAAAAAGCTTGTATTTGTTTACAGGGAAGAGTTTAGGTTTTTATTCTTTTCTTTTTCTTTTTTTTTTTTTTTTAGATTCAGACATGCTCATCTACCACATACTGAAATGTGGTTGTACACAGCTCCGACTTTTTTTTTCTTCCATGTCTATATGACTGTTAGAGCCATGGGAACCCCAGAATATATGGCTTTTTATCAGAAACTATACTGTGACTATGCCACTTGGTCAGTTTTGTGTGCAAGGTTACTTAGCAGAGATCTCCTTTGACCATATACTGTACAATTCTATAGCAATGAAAGGCTGACTGGCCAATCGATTCATTGGGGTTTACTTACTAAAGGAGTATAGGCTAATTACTTAGAAAAGGAAATTTTGGTAAATGCGTGAACCTGTGTCTAATCTGAATACCCAAAATTGTGTACGTTAATTGAGGCTGATAAAAGTGAACATAACTTCACTTTAATTATGAAGTTCAGTGAACATTCACTCATCTTTTACATTTTTCATTGACCAACAGCCAAACATTTTAAAATGGAGTTATACTTTTGAGAAGTTTTTTCACTGGTGCTGCAGTGTTGGTGTTGCGTTGTTGTGGCTCATATTGCTTACTATTAGTTCAAAGGCTGGAGTATAAACTGAGTATACAGGGGTTAGTGTGAGCTCACTTTAGAGATTAGGTAAAGGATTCATGGTTCATTTTATGGATTGGTAAAGTATTCAGGGAAGGAGGTATTAATTTTAGGGATATATTTTGGGGGATGTAGCTGAGCTTTTCACATTTGGTTCTTTTCTGTATATAGTGTAAAGGGGGCAGGCTCTATTGCTAGTTGCAGTGGTAAACCATGTACAAGACAGGGGCACCATGAACAGTTTAAGCAGTTTTGTCCTAAAATGTCTCTATCGCTCCTTCATCCAGAGTGGGGGCACTCTAATACAGGAGGTGAGTTACTGGCCAGATCACCAGGTGAAAACAGAGGGGAAAAAAGCCTGAAAGTGAAAACTAATGCAGCCACCACATCAAAGGATTGGTAAGCTGCAGTATGTTAATATTTTGTTTTTGAGAGTTATACCTTTTTTCCCCCACCAACACTGTACACCACCCTGCCAGTGCACAGTATATATCAAAAAAGCCTATCCAAGGCTAGTGCAACTGGCTCTTTAACTGCACATGCCTGTGTCTGAATATCTAATATCTTCACATAAAATATTCACATCTGATGGTTAAAACAGCATTTTGTTCTGGCACACCTTCCTTCTCACAAAGCTAATTTGTATGCTGTCAGTTTTGTGTTTACTTGGTAAGCAGAGGTGTGACTAATATGATTGCACACCTGGAATGAAGCCAAAGTCAATATCTGGGGTGATACGTGGCCTGTGTAATTTATACATCCTTCTGAGCTAAAATGTTGCAGTTTGTCAGAATGGAAAATACAAATCATTGCTAAATAAATAAATATGGTAACTATGCTACAGGAAGGCTGACACTTGCCCTCCTGAGGATTTACCCCCCTTCCTGACCAGGCCATTTTTTGCGTTACGGAGCTGCGTTATTTTAACTGGCAATTGCGTGGTCATGCAATGCTGCACTTATATGAATTTTTTTTCCCCCCATGAATTTAGCTTTATTTTCAGTGGTATTTGATCACCTGTGCATTTTTTTTAATTTTTTGCGCTAAAAGAAAAAAAAAAAGACCGATAATAGTTTGGCTTTTTGCTATTAAACATGTCCAGTAAAAAAATCAAATTTCATCATAAATTTAGGCCCAAATGTATTCTGATACATGTCTTTGCTAAAAGAAAATCCCAATATGTGTAAATTAATTGGTTTACGTGAAAGTTCTAGCATTTATAAATGACAGTATAGATACTGGAATTTTTTTTTTTTTTTACTAGCAATCAGCGACTTATAGCGGGACTGCGGCGGACATTCTGACGTGGGGGGAACTGATTTGGTGTCGCTGACATCCCCAGTGACACCAATACAGTGATCAGTGCTAAAAAAAAAAAAAAAAAAAAAAGCATTGACACTGTACTAATGGCACTGGGCAGGAAGGGATTAACATGAGGAGCGATCAAAGGGTTAGCTGTGTGCTCGGAGTGTTTTACTAGGGGGCCGTGTCAGCGTGCTTCACTGTAAGCACACTGCTTTGGATGGCTGTGCTGTGTTCCCCCTACTCGGAAATGCAAAATCATTATACGTGATTTTGTGCACCCCTGCCTCCCTGTATCTGCTATAGAGCGGCTGGAAAGTGGTTAAAGTTGTCTGTTTTGGGTCATGTACAGAAGAAAACTGTTTTGTGGTTGGTGGACATTTGATACTATCTAGGAGAGTCTTTCTCAGCAAGGGTTCCATGGAATCCTGGGGTTCCCCAAAAAGTTTCTAGGGGTCTACCTCTTGGTTAAGTAACCACTGAAACCAGTGATTTTTTTTTTGGTAATCTGTAAGGAGAATTCTTCTTACTGACTACAAATGTAATGTAATCCTTTACACTGACCATCACAGTAAGGTGCTATGGGCTGCGGCTGTAGTAGGTATTAACAGGGGTTCCCTGAGACCAACAAGTTATTTCAATGGTTCCGCCATGTTAAAATGGTTGAGAGAGGATGCTCTAGGACATTAATGAAAGGGGTTTACTACTTCAACACATCCACATCTGTTCTTCATAGAACTCCAGTAGTCCTGCAGGTGAAGCTCTTTTGGCTGTACTTCTGTGGATCACAGGAGTGCAGTTCGCTCGGTGTGTGTTCTGCACTGCTGTGACCTGTTTTTCAGCTGAAGCCCACTGTCGGCTGACGTCACTCTGTCGGTCCAGGCTGGGGAAAGATCCTGACTTTAAAGTCGGGATCCATCACAAAGTCTGGAGAAGCACCTGGCTCAGCCTCTCTGAGCCAGCCAATCCCTCCCCATCCACAGCCCAGCACTCCAGTGAGCCCTGGTGGAGGGGCAGAGCAGACAGCGGTGACTGACAGAGCAGTGGTGAGAGCTCGGTGATCAGCGGTCATGTTCAGTTCTTATATAGAAAACCTTTTCTACAAACTACTTGGTTCCCTTCCTCAAATACAAAATAACCTAAATCAATTCAAAATAGTCCACCACAAGTCCACACTATTATTAGGTCTTCAAGCATTGAAAATTGTCCCATTCATCACTTCAAATCCAAGAAACCTCAAAAGAAATAAACTAAATATAGTGCATTAACTTTTAACAACAATCAAATATTGTGATACCATGCAAGAAAACACTCGTGAGGAGAAAAAAAAAAAAATTATTTAAATAAATAAATCACTACTTTCGGTGAATCTCACGTGTAAAAATTACTAAAAATAAATAAGTAAATAAGGTGAATACACCTACACAGCCCACTCGT